AATGATGAAGAAAATAAAGAAAATGAAAAAATGGATTGGGATGATGCCAAAACAAAATTATTGCTGCATCTCCATAAAGAAAAAAAAACTTTAGTTGAAGACCGAAAAATAAAAAATTAAAAAAAAATGTGGAATTTGATAAGCGATAAAATGATGGGGTAAGGGTCTTAAAGAGTTAAAGAGTCTTAAAAGAGTCTATAAACAAACTCTTAACATCAAAGAAAACTGGAACAGGTAGGAGATCCTGTCCATACGAAAGAGAATTAGAGGATATTTTAGCAAAGCGTCGCTCTATACAACCCATTTGTACCTTAGGGAACTCGACAATGGGGAATATCGATGATATGAGAAAAAAGCGAAAACCACATTGTGCAATAGAAAAATGCATAGAAGATAAACCAATTTATCAATCAATTTAATTGACCAAGTGGTGATTCAAGAAATACAAACATTGTTTAAATTTAAAAAGGAAAATGAAGAAAGAAAATTTAATCAAAGGCAGGAGTTAATCGCAGAAATGAAAACTATTTCGCTGACAATCTCCTGTTCGTCCATTTCAAATATTATACACTTTCTTGATAAAAACCTGTTCGTTGCGACCACGCTTTACACACTTTTCTAACCTGCACTCAGTTGACATAACCTTGTACTTACTTACACTTAATTGCACTATGACGTCATATTAATGCCATATCGTGCAGAGTAGGGAAGACCCAAAGCTATAGATATAGCCTAAAGTATGTCCAAGTGTACGACATATCTCAAAGCAGAAAATAAAACAGTTAACACATAGGTCTTTACACCTAGAATACACTATCGGTAGTCTGATCTAGATTTTGAACCATTCGAAAGGAAAATGTAGGTGATCTTTGCGTATGTGTATACTAAATGAATAGAAATTTAAGAAATGTGTTAACATTAGGATCGCTTCTGTCAAAAAAGTGTTGTTTGCGTAATTTGGTTTATCGGAAATGTTAGTGACTGACAATGGACAGCAAGAGTATCAAAAATGTCAAAATTAAGCTGGAAGAATAGTGGAAATCTTTAAAGATTGCTTAAATAGTACTGATAAAAGTATAGATCTACACGAAAGACTTTTTGATTCTTGATGTTTTTGATGATCAGTGAATTGCAGTTTGGTCAATCAGCATGGAATATTTTTGAGCGAAAACAACACGTAAGAATTTTTTGAGATAAATGTTCCCGTGGATAAACAAACCATTAATCAAGGGACATCGGTAATATATTAAAACAATCAGTTTTGACTTTTTTTGGTTGATATAAATTGTATTTCAAAAAGATAGTATGCGTGTCAAATACATGACAGAAATGGGGACGAGATCGGCAAATAAGACAGTTGTACAATGCCATTAGCAAACCTAAGACTAAGACTAAAAATAAAACGAGAACCGAATTATCATATGAATAGCGATAAGATTAGGTCCAACATCGATTACCAAGTCACATGAATCTACCCCAATACCGAGATGAACACTTCATCGTAGAGAAAGGAGAGATTTAATGGAATGCTTGCTTTTGATAACATTTGAATTTTTCTACGAGCAATCTCAAATCTATAGTTCAGAGGAATAGGCGTTGCATACTGCAGCAGATCATCAGACAATCGAAAGAAACAGTGATGCCAACGGTGTTACGTAATATGCACAAGATTTGTGTGAATCGTTTCTCGTCAACAAGATACGAATCAAGCAAATTGATTGTCTAACTTGATTTGGTTCCATTAAATTGCTACTACAATAGTTAATTTATAAATTAGTTTGTTATTTTAACAGCTTGTGATTTTAATCAAACTAACAAAATTACCTACTAACTAGCATGAATGATACATCTTATGTCGCAACAATAAAATTATGGTCATGATTTAAAACAGGATATTTCTAACAATTTTGCTCTATATCATTTTTTCCTTTTTTGCGCAAATAACAAATATCTGATTGTATCGTCCCATTTCTCGATTCAATTTTGAGGAAAATTTTACGAAGATTTTACTAATACTCTACTCAAATGTATTACAATTGCACAATGAAGTTAGTTATGAAATGTCAATTTTAGTTTTCTTGGTTTCTTTTAAAAAAAAATGTGAAAAATCGATTTTTCAGAAAATATACAGGGTGATTCACATAAGAACCGACACAGAGCAGGGAAATGTAGAGGACAATAAATTAAGATGATTTAACGTAACTTACCTCTATACTAAGTTGTACACCTTAGGAGTTATATGCTTTCAAAGTTTGCTCTTAAATTTTTAAAAAGTTCAATATCTTTGTAATACATTAAGCTAGAAAAACCAAATTTGGTATACGTTATGAGTGTACCAAGGGTATTAATTGGTAGCAAATTGAACTCAATTGAGGCATTTCAAAGGGTTGATTAAGGGTGATGGTACCTTAAATTTTGACATATTTTTGTAACCTTTGGCGGATTTAATATATTACTACTAAATTTCATGTGGAATTTAATTCTAAAACTTTTCTTACTCGTATTATTTTTTAAAAAACTTTGTCGTTTTCATAAAAAACTTAAATAACTAAAGACAC